GAAAGGACAAAATAATTGTACGCTCAGTACAACTATGATATAAATCCTATTTGAAAGACTTCAGTGTTACTCGCTAGATGACACGCTAAGCGACATGTTCTTCAAAAGCAGATGAACCTACCTACGCGTATCACTCCGCCCCCATATTATAATCAGGGTACACGTACAGAGGCAGGTAAATCCACCCGTTTATCCCACAGTGGCATCGATCTCTGCACTTTGAAGTGTGGGAGGGAGTATCAAGTCATTAATAGAGCCTCTCGTGAGAAATGCTGGACAGAAGTTCATGTTTTAATTCCAATTTCAGAGTGGTTTCGCGATCAAGAACGTGTCGCAGTAAATCGCCCCTTTTACTGCCTGTCGTTACGTTAAGACAGGCCATCAACTCGTCTCTTCATTTTATGGGACCAACAGTGTCACACAATTAGGCGCGTCTTGCCTTTCCTTGGGAGACAGCGATGTCGACCATTCGTTTGATTTCCCTGAGCTCCTCCAAGCAATTCTGAAATCAACATCAACTTTTGGGCCTTTCCACCAATTTCACGCTCCTGATTAATAAATTTATCGCTGTATCTCAGTTTTTGGCGTACGCGCAATGCAATTCGACATTTTTTTCCTTATCCGAGGGTCCCCTTTGTTCTGCAACACTCAGCTGAGGTCACCTAAGTTCAAAAATGACCAAAGACGCAACAAGAAACTCGAATCATATTCAAGTGACGTCCTACGTAGTGTCGCGTGAAGAACAGGTTTGTAATATTAGTGTACTTCACGGGACGCCGTTCCAATCTTGTTATTTGTTGTTATGATTTAGAAAAATTGGTTCAGTGATTTAAGCAGTCATACCACGTAGGAAATTGATTAAAATAATTACTGTTGACATACGCTGCTGCTTGCAGACCGAAAATTTGGCTTTGTGTGGCCTTACTCTTTTGAAAGAACAGTGTTTCATTTCAGTGAGCATCAAAATTAGGGTATATGATATACGTAAGATAGCAAGCACAATCAATGTATGTATAAGTTATATTAGGCAAACATGTGTAAATAAAGGAAAATCTCCCTGCAGATTAAGCAAGACTTATGACTTTGCCACCATTGGAATGAGTGTTGAGATTATTTCAAGGAATGTTTTTCCATAGAAATTTCTTTACAAAATAAAATTTTATTTTTAGTATTTCAAACTATTGGTTTCTAGAAAAACTGTCCACCTGCCCGTCACGTGTTTAGGCACTTTTTGCATAACTGTGATCAGAAATATAAAGAACAGAAAATTAATACCTAAAAAGTACAAAATATATTTACATTATTTTGGTTAAGTACCGAAATCTTTTTTATTTTTTTTGTTTGTGATTACTGTGGAAGTTTTGTTCACAGACGAGGAAAAAATATAAAAGCATAGTGAACTATTAAAATAATTTTAAACATAAATTCAGACCATTATTTGTGGATAACGTTTCCTTAACTCAATATAAAATGCATTCGTAATTCATTATAAAGCTTCACAGATCTGCCCTTCTAATTTTAAAGGTGGTCAAAAATTGTAAGAGGAAAGCTATGCAAGGTTCTCGGACCAAACTGTTAAGAGAACCATTGAAGATAACATAATATCTTGAGTTTCTGCTACCTCACCGAAGTATGGTAACCAACAGGGTACGTTACACAGACATGTCCAGAAATATTCACATAAAAACAATTGGAAAATTCAGAAACACGTTTGTCTAACAGTTATAAAATATTTGGCTGAGCACGCTAAAGAATTGTATGACAGATTTCATTATCTCACAATACAATCACTATAAAACTGCCTTTCCGATTAACTGGAAGAGAAGGAATAGCACGGCCCATATTAATAATTATTAATTACTTTAACGTGCTAAGTCAACAGTTATAGAAGTCAATTACAGAGTGAACACAAGAAGATGAAATATATACAAAAAAAATCAGAAACAAGCGAAAACAAAATTAAATTCTCGTGCATACAATAAATCGAAACACTTTCTCGTATAGAGAAAGTGCGCTTATAACAGTATAATTTTGCCAAAAAATTTCCAAAAATCTGCACGTCAGAAACAATGACACACCTATATGAAGGACTATCTCTCAGTTCACTGCTCAGGCAAAGTTAGAAAATTGTCATTCGCCTTGCAAGCACACGAATACCAACTATTTCCATGATGGAAGGGTAATTTAGTTTACTACTGAAAATGCTGATAAAAAATAAACCCTCGACATGTGTTCGGTAATTAAAATAGAAAATATTGTATCATAATTACGTAACGTATGAAATTTAAATCAGTAATAATAATATCTAACAGGGAAATAGCATAAATGTATACTCTATTCAAATTTGTCAAGTTAATGAGACAATGAAACACTGACATCTACCCTGGCTTTAACACTCCAGTCAATTTATCATCAAAGCCCATCAGTCGTTATGAACGAAGTCCATTTTCCCAGTTACTCATTAGAAACACAAGGCGTCGCCAATTATGAGCCCGTTAATATAACTGCATTTGCAATGATTAACCCTTTGAAGTCAAAGTTCATCTAAATCAAATTTAGAAATGAAGTTCTTATTTAAAAAAATCACGAGTCTTCATTACAAAGACCAGTTGGTTAACACTGTTTAGAGAAATAATCTCTGTTTATACTGAGGAACAGACGAAATTCGTAAATACTCTCTGTGGGTAAAATGCTGAATTACTGACTGTTAAATCATGTGATTTAAAGGGTTGAAACGCTGCCAGTTTTTTCATGACTTTGAAAGTCCATTTTGGTTTAATGATGAACTGTGCTCCAAGTGATAACGAAAAATGCTTTTCTGTTATAAGAATCTTCTTTACAGGAGATTGGCGACATATTATGAACAGGATCCTTCCATCCTTTTCTCGGACTGGGACCTGTTCATATATGTTTTTAGGCAGGTGTGTGTATGGAGTAATTGCTGGGATGCCATGCCACGGAGAAATCGGGGAAGCCCCGGAGGAATACTCCTTGTTGCCTAGAACACGGCCTTGCCCAACACAAGTTATAAATTCGGGCACCGCCGGGAATCGAACCCGGGACCCCAGGATTACAAGGTCAGCGTTCTAATTTTTTTATCTGGAGACAAATATTAAGTGCTGAAGTAGTAGTTAAGACATGTCTTGTACCTGCAAACAGTGTAGATTTTGGGCGTTGGTATTCTAATTGCTGTAGCTTACTATTATTTTGAGTTACTTCAAAATAACTTAGGTTCTTAGCCTTATGCTTAATTGTTAGTTTAAAACACTTCATTGAGTCAGACTGCCTATTGGTATAATAAAAAAAATTGTTTGATATTAAATTATAGAGCAGACAGCTGAGATACAAGTTTGGAATCTTAATATTACAAAAAAAAATATAAATCAGAGATAACCTTTAGTTTTAGGTTTGGCTAATAAAGAATAATTCAATTCTTTTTATTAGAGTACTGCATCAACAGCTAGACGGTCATTTACAGACACGGCACAAAGAATAAAGTAAATACAATAATCATATAATAATAATAACAATAAAGTTTCTAGCAACAGACAGGTTAATAATTAAAACAAAGCAAAAAGAACCTGATTATTTATAAATGAAGCAATACCATCTACTTTAGGATATGCCTAAGAGTAGGCAAATGGTTACTAATGATGTCAAAATCATTGCAAAGATTATTCGCAGCTGATGCGCATCTAGCAGATGGACAACTTTTGCATGCAGGACCAACAGTGAAAAGTGAAAAATCTCTAAAATTACGAAATGGACACGCACACCAACAGTCTAGAGTATGGAGGGACAGAACTTATATCCCCCATATACGTTAATAAGAAAAAGGGCGTCTAGGTGACTCCTAGTGCCAAGAGTGTGAAAATGTAGGTTTTCTAAGGCATTGGCGTAATGATAACGGGCATGAGGAAAAAAACGATTGTAACACAAGGATAAGAACTTGCTCTGCAGGCGTTCGAGCTAACAAGTGTCAGCAGCAGTTAAAGAATTCCATGCAACTGAGGCATATTTAAGCTTAGATCTTACTAGACTAAAATATAACATATAAAGACTGTCCAAAGCTGAAAAAGAAAAATTTATGGCACGAATAAGACCCAATAACTTCAAGGCTTGAGTAGATACAAAGTCAACATGGTGGTGAAAATGAAGTTTAGAATCAAGGATGATTCCCAAATCTTTAATAGTATCCGTACGATTAATGCGGGATCCACAAAGCTGGTACTCAATACAAAAGTTTTTGTTTTCCTAGTAAATGAAATAATATTAGTTTTATTAACATTAAGATTCATAATAATAATTTTCACCTGTCAGAACTCAGTCAAGCTTTCACTATTTGACTGATTTGCAATTCGCGTTTCTTACGTTTTCCTGTAATTTATTGCACTGTAATAAGTCTTTCCAAAAAGACAATTATGAAAAAGAACATATAAAATATTAGTAGATTGTTTCCATTTGTACCAATTTTATGCATGAAATGACAGTTAATAAATTTGCATCATGAAACGAACGTCTGTGCTTTTTAAACTTGATAATTCCTAGCAATATACACCTCGTTAAGAAAAGAGGCTTCTACTGCAAATAAATCGACAGCCATTTTACAAAATAAATAAATTAAGGCTGTACATGGTCTTCAGTTCTGAATGTTCAGAAACCTTTATAGGGTTAAATATAACCTTAACTTCAGTCTGCAATTAGATATCACTTAACAGTGATTTGTTCTCATTATAATTCAGAAGTTTCATTTGAAAACACTATTTTATTGCATGATTGACCTCGTAACTATACACAAGTTCCATAACAGTAGCTTCAAAATGGTTGTAATTCTTGTTACGTCAAGACACTCATTTAAATTTACAAGTAACTGTCTGAAATGGGCATTCGACAGTATTTGAGTTAGTATAAAGTGTTTCGTGCATAGAACTAGCTGTCAGTAAGAATATTTTTTCTCACGCTGCGTCATATTACTAGTGAACTGTGGCTGGCTGTCCTACCTGTGTCAATGGCCTTGATTTCAGGTCCATCATCTGTTGTTGTGCTGACCATTACGACTCTCTGATGACTACACTTAACTTCCTTGATGAGAAAAATCCGATTTCTTAACTGGTTATTATTTTCAGCTAAAAGCCACAAGAAATTTTACTAGCCAAGACTAGACCCAAGTACGAACAGACTACATCTCACGCCCGAAGCCGGGTCAATAATGGACGCTTCTGAGCATGCGTGCTAACACAGCTCTTACGTCATCGTTCACTGGTTAAACAAAAATCGAACTTTTTAAGGCATTAAAGAATGGGCAAGGTAAGGGAAACGCTGAACAAATAATCGCTAATGTAAGCTGAGAACAGCCATGTTATGTGACTTCTTGGTATGTTTCTTTCGTAAGTCTTAAACAATGCATACTAAAAGACTGAACATTTTAATGAATTTGTAATTGCTTTAATTGTATCGCAGTCTGAAACATAATAACTCAAGTTTCATACTTTTGAAAGATGTTTAGTATACAAATGTGTGTAAGTTATTTTACTACAGGTTTCTCCTTTATAACCATAAAAACTTGTTATAATTTCCGGTTTAAACTTGATTTATAAAAAGAGCTTTGAATCAATGTTTAGAACTAATAAAATTAAAATTACTTATTCGAATCTCCTAAAATTAAAATACTGAGATGACAAATGGTAACACAGCCCCCTCCTCTCTTATCCCTGTAAAACAATATCTCCCAAATTTTTCTTAGAGGGGAAAAGCCTATGTTTCAATTTCGGCACAAGGCAAAAATAAATTTTAGTGTAGGGCCTTACATGTACTAAATAAGCGTCTCTCAAAATCACCAATTGCTAATGTTTTACGGTTCCGTTGTGCGGAATATGAGCATGAGTGTACACGGCTGCATTGCTTTCCGTTTTATTATCTAAAGGTGTCATATATTCCTAAATAACGTGTGCAATAATGCTTCCTTCATTAAAATTAAAAATCTTGAGAAATACCCTGTAATCTTGATGTTTGTTGCAATCATCACTTTGACAGACATTTCCACAATTTGTCAATGTTTTCGTTTTTATGTTTAACTACTAAGAGTTTGATAATGAAGAAAGGAATACACAGAAATATTTATTACTCTCGGGTTACCAGCCGTGTCAGGTGGTTTATTAAAGAAAACGTTTCGAGAACCATCTTTGTCCCTTGCTTCTAGATTAGAGTTAGGGAGTATTTTACTTAATCATTATTTTATGACTAGTATTGACATAGAGAAGTAATAGACAAGTATTTGAAATCTGGAAAGATGTATCTGTTCTCTTCTTGTTCTCAGTGGCTCAGTAATGCCAACAAAACTCAGAAGTAAGTGACCGAATCACGGCAGAAGCCTATGACATAAAATCAATTACAGAAGTTGCGCGCCTGTGACCCCACCCCCCGCCCAATCACAATACTTTGTTGTCGGTCTGCCATAAAGTCGTAGAAACAACCCGTAAACAGCAAAGTAAAAGCCGTATGAACATGGGCAAACAACTTGGTGTGCTGGTGACATCACAATTCTATGAAATCGATAGTAGCTTTATTAGCGATTCGAGACGCATTTGACCGTGGACTCCACTGTAAGACTTGCTGTCAAGAACTGAAGCTGGAGATAAATGTTTTTAGTAAGAGATGACCAAGATTTCTGCAGTGACCGTTACGGGCTACTTTTAACGGAAGCTCGTAAGAGAAGTATTTTGCTTATGCCTGTACCAAGACAGTAAGTGATACGTTCTAACCTTCTATATGTGCAGTTTTAATTGCGCCTTTGTAAACCGTTCTGGTGTTTGAAAGTAGTTCTACAAACCCAACACTGCATTTCTGAGCTATTCTTTGTTATATTTGTGTTTTCACCCTATAAATTAACATCTTCAAAGTAGACCAGACGCTAATGTGTCCCATTCAATTCCAACCCCTTATTTTTGGGCCTTTGTGGTGGTATATTCTGAGCTGACGTTGAAAAGCAAAGATGACAAGCCATCTCCTTGTTTCAGACAATTCTGAATAGGAGGAAATGCACTAGACAAATGTTTATTCATACGAACGTTACTAGACATTCCATTTTAATTAGCCTGGGAAGTGTAATTTGTAAACCGAATGCAATGAGAATGTTGAATAATACTTTCCTCCTAACTGAAACATCAGGTTTCTTCAAGTCTATGAACGCCTATTGTACAGGCCCACTGTACTTCCATTTTTTCCTTTAATATCTCGTGAATGCAAAATATCTGGTCGGCAGCTGATCGTTGAAATAGACACTGATGATACCCAGTAATTTCTTCTGCGTGTGGCGTTAAACTTTACAGAATAAATCTCAATGAAATTTTGCAGTAATTTCTTCTGCGTGTGGCGTTAACCTTTACAGAATAAATTTCAATGAAATTTTTATGTAATTGATTATAATATTATTCAATACTTCCTGAAGTTAGCTTTATCATACTTTTTATAAACAGGTACAATAGCAGATTTCTTTCACTGTTCTGAAAATTCTTCCTTAATCCAAATAGAATTAATGAGTTTGTGGATCTCATAAGGTAATGCATTACCGCCTGATTGGATCAGTTTAGCCGAAATTTAGTCAATACTTGATGATACATGCCCTTACAACTTTTTAATGACAACCTCAATCTCAAAAGAGCGTGGTTCTAGTACGAAGGATCCAACCGTAGTACTGAAGTCTGCCTAGCATTGTAAAGCCCATGTACTGTACATTTAGCAGTTCACAAAAGTAACTCTTCCACGTGTTCAAAGTATTTTGGGAATCTGCATGCAGATTACCAATCTAATCTTTTACCAAGTTACTTCTACGTTGGTAAACCTTCTGAAGTTTATTTATGCCTCGTGCCCGTCACTAATGTATTTGTCCTTGTTCCCGTTTCTTCATTTTGTCCTCAAAGTTCTGAAAGTTAGGTTAGGTTCACGGCCCTGGTGCATATAATATTCGGGCCTGATTCAAATGATAACAATCAAAACTTATATAGAATATTTGGGCTTCCCCGGGCCATTACGCTCTCACAAAGAAATTGTTAAGCATTTTTGTATTCATGTTCAACGCGTGAAACAGTCGTGCTCAGGAAATGAATCCCACCAACTTGATTTTCTCGTGGATTTTCGTATCTGTCCACTTTAAAAAATAGTACAACATAACAGCTTACAAAACTTGGTTTACGATATATTTTAACGCCAAAATAACCTCAGATTTTTTTATATCGCAGCTGACACGTCACGTTTCTCGCCTTTCCCCTAAGCGACAACCCGCTACTCACGGCCGGCGTTTCTGGTGTAGTTTTAAACTTTATTTATGAAGAGTCCGAAGAGACGACCCTCTGCTTCTAAACACGCCTCGCATCATGAGAACTTTTCTGTGCTTGTAGTTCTTCCAAAGAGTGTAGAATGGTTCATATACACTTTTTGTTTCAGCGTGCCCCACAAATGAAAGTCACGAGGGTTTATATCCGGTGATCGCGGAGGCCACAATTCCAGACTTATGACTCGTTCGCCGAAGACTTTATCTAACGCAAATACAGAATTGTTCGCAGTTTGTGTTTCTTTGTCCATGCACAAAACGCCTGTTATCTTCCGCGCACTAAATGTTCATCAAATCCCAACTTTTATATCATGAAGTGGCACAATGAAAAGCCAAAGGATTTGCTTTGCTCCAATATTTCTTATTCTGGTTATTTAGTAACCACTTGTAATGAACCAAGCATCCTTGTAATAAAAGTGGGCCGGCGTGGGCGAACAGTTTTCTAGCCAGCGAATCTAAGCACAAATTGGATTTCCTGTACGTCGGTGTAATCTCTGTCCCAAGCACTATCGCTTCCCCGTCTTCACGAAGCTCGGAAATATTTTGCGACAATTGTACTTTGAACGCTACACCAAATCCAAAAATGTTATACAAGTAATGAATAGGGAAGTGGCTCAGCAAGATGGTACTCCAGCCCATTTCCTGCTAACTGTGCATGAATTCCTCAAGAAATCATTCCAAAATCTACTGATTGATCGGAGTCCTCAGACATCCCGTCACAACCACCGTGACCCACACGCAGTCCCGAATTGACTAAACTGTGGTGATGCATAAATACCAGTGGCTGCACTTGGGCGCAATACCCACGAAGCCCCGATCTCAACAACGCCACCGCAGATGTCACGAAAGACTGGCGACCTGCAAAAAACTACGTGATCCATACACGGATAATAAACGGTACAGTGACTTGTTGGGCACTCGGTAAAATCGGTTCTTCGGCGTTGCTTTCTGGCCTTCTGTACGTCGACCTCTTGGTTGTTGGTTGGTTTTCAATTATAATCTGAAGCTTTCACGGCGATGAAGTATAATGAATTCTTCTCGGGCTACGAAACTTGCCAGATTGTTGAATGGGAAAAACACCGTTTTCATAAACGTTTTCGTCCTCGTCCTCAGGGTACCTCAGGAAGAATTAATTATGGTTTTCCATTAAGACGCTGTACAAACTCATTATAAAATGGAGAAGCATAGAATAGCATATGGTAAATTCTGAATGCATAAAGCGGCAGATGTTTAAGATAAAAGGGTCACGGCCTATTTTAAGGCATTCTGGCATTTCCTAGAGAACGGAAGAAAAATATTGGTCAGTATATCCAATTTTCGGAAGGGTTTCTTTCGAATGCGTTTTCCCTGTACCAAATCCCCAAAATCCCTTCTACTATTCACGAATATAAAATATATTTTTGACATAATTTTAATAATTTGTTAGGCCTCTATTATTTTATTTGTATGTATGACATATCTTTGACAAATTGTGGGTCAGTGCTGGAATTTAAGAACGTGCTTAGTGTCCAGTATTGTTCATCAGTATATAACGCGACTTTGACAATAGCTGGGGCCGCCTTTAAATTTATTAAGAACTTGCTGTAACCCTTCAATTATTCAACAGTGTGAATATAACATATCTTTGTCCGTATTTGGGCCATTGTAGACTTTTTTTTTAGAAAAAGCGACATCTGCAGTTACAATGAGCTGTGTGATGGTCTTTATGCAGAAACGCATTCCAACAGAACGTGTTACGCGATATTGCCATATATTCGGGTGCTTACATATAAATTGTACATTTTCATGTACCATAAAGGACAATGAGTGGTTACCGAAATAATATTTATTTTACTCACGTTTGTACAAACCTCACATGAATAAACATGTGTCAAACTAAACTTTACAAGTAAGAGCACACGTAAATAGCTCCAAACAATATGAGTGTGACGGGGAGATGAAAAACTTTTCTATCGCTTTAACATAAAACAATGTTTATGCATAAAACTTAATCTATCACTCTGAGATAAAATAAATCCGTTGTAATATATTATTTTTTCTTTGAAAAAGTAAAGAGTGCCCATATTTTTAAACGTGAATGAAAGACGGTATGCATACATGTTAATGTTGTCAATATGGATGAAGTATTTATACATTTTTTTTTAAATATTTGAAATTAAATATACTTGTCATTTCGAATATCAAGATACTGAACAAAATTTCCTTACCATAAAAGTATGAATCACAAATTCTGAAAGAAACAAATATAGGAATTGAAAGCCGAATCTCGTGAATGTGAGAAGTCTACCGAACGGCCCTTCTTGTGACGTCACTTCCGTCCAATTTACCTGCTGCTTCGTATGAAGGATATTTTTAATAACCAGCCAGTTCAGCGAAGGTGGAGTCCATCTCGTCAGCCAGTGACTTGTATCTATCCTTGTTGATACCCAGTTCGTCTGAGGAGAGAAAAAACACACAAATGCTTCAATAATGTGTCAACACAAATTGGAGGTACAGCTTCCGTGTCAATTTTAACACAGCGCACAGGATCTCAAACGCCATTAAAACAAACACTAAAGAAATGAAACAAGAGTTCCGAAAACTCTTCCATTACAATTGATGTAAGTTTGCACTTAAGGATTACAGTTTTGTCCAACGAACACTAACAAGTTCGGAAATAAAAGTGCAATGCAACCATTATGAGGAGTTCGCTCTGTTACTGCCCCTAGATTTTCAATTTGTGGATGCTAACGTTATATGCTGTCTGTTAAATAACTTGGAAAGCCCAGAATAACGAGAAAGGACCACCAATATGAAATTTGATCAAAATAATTTCAATGGTTCTAGGATTATGAATAGTACAACACAAATATCGCTTTTGTTTAAATATCTCCAAAAATCTAAAACTTGCGGAAAATTCTATTGGGTGCAATGGCATACTAAATTTTCCCATGCATTCTGAAAATTTGTCGCTCTAATAAATTCGCCTATTTATCTAGTATCGCTCCAGATTCGAGCAGAAATATTAGGTCTTCGTAGAAATTGTTCGTTATTATTTTCATATTTTAAACAAATTGGAGTATAACAACGAATTTTAATAAACCCCTAAAGTCATCAGACACTAATTTTCAACAAATTTTAAATATTAACACAAACATAGAAAAATATTTCAAAATGTTTAAAGAGCTAAATTTTCAACTTGTAACCGATCTTGAGCGAACTTCTGATTTTCCTTTTTAAAAAGATTTTCCAGAAACACCGTAAGTGTTAATTAATATCAGATAATTATAAATGTGATTAAATTATTCATAACCATTAAAATACGTTTTCAGACACGCATAACATTTTAAACAAATTCTATACGCACAAAACGTAAGACTTCAATACACCACGTTTCGTGGGCACCAGAAACTACACTACACTACACTACACTGCACTGCACTGCACTGCACTACACTACATTACACGACACTAAACTACAGTGCAACCTCACCGCTTCTTCAGTGGGCATTTAATTTTTGTGTACAGCATATAAAAACGCCATACGTTTCTCGTTATTTGAATACTGTCAGGAATAAATTGCTAATGACTTTTAATGAATTTAAATTACAAATTTTCTTGTATCGAATAATGTGTCGCTTCCATCCATTTCTTAACGACAAAGATATATATTTTTGTATTCATAGAGCAAAGATATATCGAAATAATGTGAAACACTTAAATGAAAACGAAGCACATAGATCCTGTGTGTCTCTCATTATGAAGAACACGTCTTTGTGTTATACTTCATATTTGTCCATTGCTTCTATAGAACAATTAGAGAGATCATAATACAAAAGAATCTAACACATAAATCGATATATAGTCATCCATTATGTGTCCAGAGTCGACAAGAGTGGGCTGCTATAAAAATAGCGTGTATCCAACCAGCTAATAAAGGACTTATGAAGACTCTACATTCTTATTGTACTAGGCAATTCCTGCAATTTTTTAAATCAGGGGGCAACGCCAGAATTCAGTCTCTAGACAACACTACTATTTATTGTGCCTGAGACAAATATCATTTTTAAATTGTATAAAAAAAATTTAAACGCAAATGTTGGAGTGTTGGTACAACATTCACTAGCAAGATCCGTTAGATGATTAATAGATTTACTGTGCAGTGAAGGTAGGAGAAATGGCGAATGTACACAGGTTTGCCTTTGCCATGGTCTCCTGTAAATGTCTGCAGAAACATCCATTCCCTATCTCAACACCACAATAAAATTACATATAAACAACTTCACTTTTACAACACGCGATAAACATATTTAGACGGCATTTTATGCAGTGGTTAGAGTCTTATTATTTCTTGGTAAGTAACGAATGAATAAAGTTATTTCCAGCAAAGCAACATAAAGTTAACATTTTATAGTGTGATTGCAAATATCTAGTAAGTGCCAGTGACCATGATAAACATTGTTATTGTTATTACTTAATTGCGATCTAAGACATTATTTTATTAAAGCAAATGTTGAACATAAAGGCTGTGTGAACAAGATTCAATGTGCCTTTCTTTTATTTGTACAATCCAGAATTATTTCAGTATTATTCAAATATAAAGAATATTCAGAAATGACTTTACAGAAGTAAATAACAACTGTGGCTGTAAATCTTACACGAACATAAAAAATAACTTAAACCACATTTCTCTAAAATTACTTTCAAAATTTGTGTTTCGTTTAGCCTAATCAGTGTTTTTTATTCGATGTCCTTTTTCAACAAAATTGAATCTTACATAATGCTTGAATGCGTCTGTCATATTTAAAAGAGTATTAACAATTTTATTGACACATACCCACTGTCAAATTAAGTATCCATAGCAGGAAATACAATAATATTAATATGAAAATTTGCTAACATGTTCAGGGCATTCTTAAGTGTAATTTGAATACAGCACGTCAACAAATATAATTCTTCAGCGACTTTGTTGCAATTTCTCAAGAAAAATATTAGGAGTATTTGAGCCAAACGCATTAATAAAAGTAGATGATACCTGCATATAAAAAATGTATTCAAAATAAATACAATTTAGTAATAACTACAGCAACATGGCAGTTACTTGTGTAAAGCATCTCTTGTTCACGCAGACTTGACATAAGCTACTACCTTGGCATGGCAGACTTGACGTGAAGAAGCAGCAGCAGACAGGAAAACTTTTAACAAAAAATTGTTAAAATGTTGACAAAGAAAGGCAGACAGTACACAGCAAAAGAAGACAGAAGATGCGCCGGAAATGTTCGTGAAGCAAAATGAAATTTGGTTTTTAATGGTTGCTGTTTTTTTGATTATTTTATTTCGGAAAGCATTCTGTGTATGTTTAGTAGCCTGTGAGTTCAGCGAAGGTCGAGTCCAAGTCGTCGGTAATCGACTTGTATTTCTCCTTTTCACCGAACAGGTTGTCTGTAACAGGAATGCAACGCCATTAATTGGTTAGCAACAGCATCAAGCACACAGATACAGCGCAGTTCGTCGACAAGGATTCTTAAACGTGGTCCTCCAGCAGCTAGCACTGCTTCACCAACAACAACTGCGGTCTGCTCATCTACTGTAGGGACCGGATTACTTGCCAGAGTTGAAGAGCAATGTGATAAGCACTGCGCGCGCACCTTCACGCACGCTTTACTATCTGTTTCCAAAACATCGTTATATTTAAAATCGCGGTATGCTTCAGTTCCTGGCGAACAATGCAGCAAATCAGAGTCATTATTTTAGAAACAGTTTCATGCTACCTGGTCGTCCGTACACCGACTAGGCCGTGCAGAGTGCAAAAGGGAACTCATCTAGAAAGTAACCTAGTCAGCAGAGAACATATCGTTGTCCAGGAATCTAACAAATGAACTCTGAATGGCGAAAGCTCAAAGAAAATACGTATGTTTGAGACATACCTACATGTATATACAAATTATGAACATTTTGAAATTTCTGAAACGAAGGCTAGGATTTAATAGAAAATTAGATTGGGTTGACATTACGTCGAGCTAATGTAGTATCTTCACCACTTTAAAGTCGTTTCGTTCATTTGAATTAGACAAGAAGGAGGAAGTAATAGATTTCCTCACAGCTGTTCATTGCCAGCTTGGGCAGTATACACTTTTACAGCATAAGGAGCATCAAACGATGTCTGGGCTTGTAGAAATAATTATCACCTTTCCATCAAATAAGATATTCACTTGAAGAACTTGTTCTGAGTAAATTTAATGAACCTGGTATTATTAAAAGCATGGATTTAGATGTACTGCAGTGCTCTAAGAGACAATATCCTGCACACTTTCATCACGACACATGAACAGAACACTGTTTTGTCTCTCCTTTAGCATGCAGACACAGCAGAAATCTTTTAAAAATAACATATCCAGTTTAAGAAACCTTGTCTCCAACGAAGCAACATAGATGATATGTGATTATGGATCTGTAGCAATTAACTTATTTATGGATTAATCATTCAACTAATTTTATTACAATCACGCAATAATATGTAAATTTATCAAACTTACATGTTTCATAGATGTATTTACATCGAGGGGTAGTTAATTGTGTTTTGTGAGTCATGGGCAGAATATATTCAAAATACGATTTAAACAGAACAAAGATCCAACAGTGAATACGGTTCATGACTAACGTCATTATTCATTGTCATATTCTGTTTGTTAATGCACGTAATTACACACCAGCCATACAAATTGCAAAGCCACCCGTTTTGTAATAGACGCCCATGTTTTCAGCCTCTTCTGACACGCCGACCGGTACTAGAGAACTAGGTTCCCTAGAGTAAACAAGCTGGTGTGACATTCTTTGGTCTGGTAGGTTAATAGTTTAGCACGACTTAACGTGTTTTATTTTCGATATAACAATTAACGTTTACGTGTGGTATCAAGAATAAGAAACGTGACCATTCAGACTTGGAATTTGCTCATGGAGTCATGTGAAGTAATTTGTCAGATGATCCTCCAGGAATCTCTTCCGCCTCCCCATTTCTAATGGACTGACACAAAAAGCCTACGTCTTTCCCACCACTGAACTTTGAAAGAACTAGGAGGGAATAGTGTTATTCACAAGAACATGTGTACGTGATAAAAGGAAACCGAAAAATAAAGCTCGTACAACAAATTTTTGGCTGTACTGGAAGATTGGAAATACATTTTCAAACTAGAATTGAGAACCGGTTTACAGACGTTTCAGAGGTCCATACTGCCTCCATCATCAGGCCGAAAGTTGTCTCCCTTATTTGGGCGACGAAATTAATTTGAATTAATCTGGATATTTTTTTTTTTGGGGGGGGGGGGGGGGAAAGTCAAATCTATTAAATTTACATTCTATTATTCACAAATCGAAAATTCTGTTGGGTTAAATTTGATAATTTTAGTCAACAAATTTTTCTTTCCTAATTAAATCCGAAAAGTGTGTGAGATGTGTTTTGTGAAATCGTATTCATGGCAATTCATAACAGTTTTCGAATTTTAAAAATTAGTTACTCCCCAGTCACCGTAAATACGCAGAACCTTGATACTGACGTCTGACTAATTATCACAATATAGCAATTTCTTGGGGTTTTAGTCAGCATTCGTCCAGTGAACAGTTCGGATGCTGTAACTCTTACACAGACATTAAAAGTCAAAATTAAAGTTTAAATTAGTAAAATTCCAAAAATTAAAAGAAAACTAAGGATCCCTGAATAGGGATAAGATAGCTTGATGTTCTATGAATGAAGAAAACTAAGGATCCCTGAATAGGGACGATATGGCTTGATGTTCTATGAATAGGATATTATCGATTGTTTTTGTTTCGCTTCTGTAAGACAGAGACACATCCGAATATGGTTAGCACCAAAGGAGAATATAGGAATAGTCACACTTGTTCCTACCACAAATTCATCGGAATCTCTTCTTTAGATCTGCCTACAGAAAAATTTTCATAGTATCTAGATCTGAAACCACATAAATACGAAGCATCACGCCGCTCACAGGCTCCATTAAAGTTAACGCGGTAAACGTTTGTTCGATACTTCTAATTTTCAAAGCACCTTCTTAGGAAAAGAAAATATTGTTGGCGTGGGGTATACCAATGAATTATCAGCTCGACTTATTGGATGTTATTTAAAATAATTAAATTTTCAAAAGTGGCAAAAGCAGTTGAGGTAATACGTTTGTCACCTTTGGAGTTTCCATTCAATTATTTGAATGTTGTGTGTCATTTCAAATTACCCAAACTGGGCAACATTGTTTTAGTTACTTCAATGACGCCAACTTAACAGATAGTTTACCGGATAAATTTGGTGGTTAGTGTGTGAGGTAATGAAACACACGTACCTTCAAGCCTGTCGACTTCTTTCTGGAGTTTCTTCACGGATTTCTCAGCGAATTCTGCTCGCGCCTCAGCCTGCATCAAGAAAGTTCAATACAGTGTTTGTGTTCCAGCTGATTAACCCTCACAACTTACTCCTCCAATAACCAAACAAAAACTCCATGTCTGATGCATGTACTGTGCTCTTAAGATTCATTGCTCAGTTTAAATTAAAAACTTTGTACTAGCAAATGGCATATTCTCCTATCTTCGATACATTCGATCTGGTAGGCAGGCGTATAATCGGTTAGTTGCCCGCCGGCTTCTCATCGTAGAGACCCAGGTCAGTACATGAAAGATCTGTGTTAAACAAAGTAGAACTGGGACAAGTCTACGTCCTAGTCTATTGGTTTTACGCCTATCAGTTATGGGCTAATTCCATTGATGCTTGATATTTACTCATGTGTCATCTGGGAGATGTCCACTTCCACGCAGACATAGCTTCGATACATCGCAATAAGAAAGAGAATGCATAGTGGTGCGACATCTGTTGTGTATATGAGACATTACACTAACGACGACAAACAAGTGAAAAGCGTGTTTTACGTTCAAGTATTTTACATCATCTAACAAATTGCAATTTCGTAAATAATGTAAAATATTCGTAGTGTTTTAACAATCTACTTGAGTGTAAATGTTTTAACTACAAGTCTGAAATCAGTTTGAAGCGGCTTCTGGAATGTTAATAAATGTAAGGAAATTAATTGACACGGTAAGTGAAAAAACTGTTTCCATTTTCTAAAAACAGACAATCACGATAATAAAAACAACGTCTACGTAAAAGTGTTGTAAGTCTCCCGAACAACTTCTGTAAGTATTGTACTAGAGCTTCAAATCACCCACCAGCATCCGTTAACTCGCCTGTGGCGAGTATGATAAATGGACTTCCCTCTTGTTCTAGTGAAATATGGTTCGAAGACGACTTTCCTAATCAACGACTCGACAATCATAAGCAATTCCCAACGCGTGTGGATCATTTCCGTGGATTCATTAAACTTACCTCCTTTAGCTTCACAGACAGGCTTTTGATTTGGCGCTTGTATTCCTCCACTCTTTGGTTGGCCTGAAATACGGGAAAGTAAGTTTGGGTACAGTAAATCTCCTCTTAATATCAGCATATTACAGTTTTACACAATCACTCGCATATAACGTAGGCGATCTAACAATTAAACAATCTCATTAATTTGTGTAAAAAATTCTTCCGCAAAATACCATTTCTTATAATTGTATGTTTGAACAATTTCCCGAATTCTGAACGAAAACGCAAAACCATTTTCTTAGCTCATCGACTCCATGAAGCAGACTTCTTGTTGGGAACCTAAAAGCCGTTCAGCTAGTCAACAAATTCCATGCCTTAATAGAATATTAAAGTTTATTACAGTCCTCACAAGAACATGCCATTCGTCTCTAAGTTGAACCAACTTTGATTTTTTGAAGATCTACTTTAGCATTATTCCCCTCTCAGTTTGGGGTTTTTCTAAATATATTTAAATTAATCTAACGACTTCATAGATATACAGAATTCAATTGACAATGTTCGTACAAACAGATCTGTACAAATTCGTGAATAACAAAGATGATAGTTATCTTTTAAATATCCTTAAAATACGAAAGGAGTACTTAAAATTATTTTCTATTGAAACAGACAATCCAATGGATCCACAAATGGAGTCGACTATTGGTTTATAATCGATCTTTGAAATGAACGGGCTACAGTCTTCCGATTGCCAGACTAAGTGTTTTAAATCATGCATACCTTTTCTTCAGACACTTCCAGAGACTTCAAGCTGTTGCCGACGACCTTCAACTCTTCCTCAAGCTCCATGATCTTTCTAAAAAGAATTAAATTTCCATACTTAAGGTAGCGTACAGAAACTTCGAAAATTATACGCAAGTACATCTTTGTAAAACAAAAGAATTAATGAAAATATTGATCTTACATGTGCTGCAAATGCTTATAAAGTTAATCGAAAATATGTATATTTTTAAAGTTCTGATGTAGGGTCTAAATAGCTAATAAAAATGTAAGATAAAAGAAACTCACGATTCTCCGGTCTTCACTCGGTCCTCAGCCACTTCCAGCTCATCTTCAACGTTTGCCAGCTTCTGGGTCACCTGTTAACAAAACCTACAAATCAGGCCCTGTTATGTAACTGAATGGACCTTATTAGCCCACGATGGGGAAATTTTGTTACGGCAGGAGAACACAACACACAAAAACGCGGACATACGCCCATTCGTTAAATGGGACTCGAACCCACGATCTCAGTGTTTGAGCGGTCAGGATCCACGCCTTTGACCGGAACATTACTCTGATCTGTGAAACTCTAAAACTATCCTGATAAAGACCAGTGGTCACCTAGCCCATGAGGGCGCTTAAGTCTCTGGCTAATTATAGATTGGTGAGGTCGTATAACTGTAAGTTCTGTTGAATGAATAGTTCATCTATCGCCACATAACCACTCGCGCGCATCTGAGTTAAGATAAGTTTGATGCAAAGAGATTCAATCACCTCGTCAGACTTGCCGTCGGCGTCCTCAGCTAGCAGTCGGGCCTCCTTGAGCTGGTTGGTCAGCTGGTCCATCCTCTCCTCGTCCTGAAGACTACGGTTCTCGAATACCTTGCACATTCTGTGAAAAAAGAGTGCGATCTGCCTTAGAAAGAAACAAGGAAAAAAATAGGAAAGACTGCAAAGTTTCCGGATGTGATCGTGTCAATTCTGCATCCTTCATTTTATGTATAGGCATACTTTTGGTCAGCTGTTTGGTTGCTTAATAATGATTCGTTTATGTGGAGAAGTTGCATAGTTTTTGTGGTGATTGAGTTACCAAATTACAGAGTGGGCGGATGAAGATGAAGTGTGAAATGTTGAGCCGTGTAGTCTCCAAGAAATTGACCGACATTTCAGGAGGCGACAAAATAGAGGAGGCATTAAGCTCATCTGAAACGTGTTAAGTTTTGTCAGATTACACGGCGCAACATCCCACAAGACAGTCATCTTCACCTGCGACGAAAATGACCGTAAAGGTCAACAAATTAGCCAGTCTCCAAGCCGTAGTTCAAAACCAACATGTCCCTAATATGAAGTCAACCTGCTCACAACTATAGCCTACCAGAATATTCTGTACTACATTTTTATATCTGATCGACAGTTTAGACGTTGCAGCGCATAAAACACTGCAAACTGAAGCAATGTTGCGCTGGTAATCAACCGCTTAACCATGAAAACGTACAGAGGTGTGGAGGTAAAGTTCCACTCATTCTTAACCTCGTCACTGACACACAAGACGAGAAGTTGCAAATATTAAAAAAAAGCAGTGATGCCAGATGCGGTAAAGTTCCACTCATTCTTAACCTCGCCACTGTCACACAAGACGAGAAGTTGCAAATATTCAAAAGAAGCAGTGATGCCAGATGAGCCGATACAAAGATGTACGAGAATGGAGGAATAGCAAAACAGCTTTACAGCTGAGCTCTGCTACTTGTCAGGTCCTGTGTCATGTCATTTGATCAGGCAATAAAGACAAGAACGATGTCAGTCACAAAACTGACTGAGCTTTGGTTTCATCAAACACGAGGAAAAGAGTGAATACACGAATTGCTGAACCTGGTGGAAGTTTTCAAGGCTTAACACGACATTTATTTTCTGATCTCAGTGTAGTTCGTTTTTTGATGAACAGAACATGTATCAGAAATGGGTTGCGTGACTTTCCGACCATATGTATTTGACTATTCCCTCGTAATATAAACTAACCGGCTGGCTTCATCAGCGGCTTCTGAGGCTTCGTGCAGTTTCGTGAGAGCCGTGCCCGACCTCTCCTCAGAGCGTTCAAGATCCTCTTCAATTAGCTGCACTTTCCTGTTCAGTGCTGCCATCTCGCTCTCGGCCTGTAAAAATATAATAACGATGTCTTCATTTGTTTTCAAACACTTGATTTAGACGCTTATATCTGTGGATAAATCTAGGGTTCACAATGCTGCTCGTACAATCAAGAGTTTACTGTATTATTACGAATTTAATGGCAATCTAAATCAAGAATTTGCTGTGTTTTTATCATGAGTTTAAACAGTTTATGTCAACTGTTTGCTGTGTTGTTATTGTAAGTTTTAAAGGTCATCTAAATCAGACAGAACGAATGTGTTATGGAGTCCTGATAATGAAAATTAATTTTAATGGCGAGAATATAACTACTACACTCCAAGAATGTGCGGTGGGCATATAAGTAAGTTCTACACTGAATGTGGAGGCTATGCGTTTTTTTCCTGAAAGGTTGATTCCCACCTACAAGGATACACATAGCGAAAACCCAGAAGAACACAACTGGTATTGAAAATTAAACATTCTGTAAGTGGAGCATATCAAAATTAACAAACATGTAATTTAATTCGAGATATTAAATTTCATGCAGCTTTGGAAAAAATCGATAAAGATATCGAACATTATTTAATTCTATGTGGAGTATCGATTATGTTGGACTAATGCAAGTCAAAACTCGATTTTCCAAGCAACGATTGATACTTTCCTGCAGTGCCATATTCCATCTAAATTTACTCGTTAGTACCGGAAATAAAATACGAGAAACGGACATGAATCTCCATAATCATTTTTCGGGATATAGACCACCTGTATTCACATCTAATGTTAAACCAGGTGGTCCATACAGCTCGTACTAGGCTTCATAGGGTCAAACAACCTATGCCTCATTAACTCACGGCCTGCAGAGCCTTCTCCTTCGCTTCCAGGTCCTTGTTCGCCTGCTCCAAGTTCTTCTTAGTAGTCTCCGAGTCCTGCTCCAACTGGGCTCGCCTCTTCTCCAGGTCTCTCACGTCCTCGAGGATCTGGAGCACAAATGCCATCAAGAGCGTCTTATAATTTGTATCGAAGAATAACAATTGCAACATTATAAAACGGCTCTGTGTCTCTCACTGATTTTAATTCCTAGTTTTCCTCCGGTTTCTTTAAAATGGAACTAAACGGCACGGGCAGGACCATTATTACTTTTATTATGCATTAATTTTCAGCCTTTAACACCAGAGAGCAGAGTCTTCCTTGAGAGAATCTTAATTCGCTCTGCTAGACAAGAAATTCCTCGACTATTAAGAAACTCGAAGGCGCATTACCGTGTTCAACACATCACGTTACCGGCCCTTCTTCTGAACTTAAATGCAGTCCACACCCTCCAACCCTAATTCTCCAAGATTAATTTTAATATTATCTTTACACATACGCCTACGTCTTCCAAATTCTCTTCCCCTTCACGTTTTTCAATAAAAATGTAAGCGTTTTATGCGTGCTACATGCCACCTCAACCTCCTCGGTCTGATATTCGTAATATTTGTGAAGAATACAAACCATGGAGCTCCCCAATACGTGATTTTCTCCAGTCTCTTCTCACTTCATCCTTCTTAAGTCCAACTGTTCTCCCCACACCCTATTCTCAAATAATTTGTGTTCTCCCCTTAAAGTTAAAGACCAAATTTCATTCCCGTACAAATCAAAATTTAATATTATACTTCTGTACATTTTGATCTTTACTTCTTGAATTAGCATACGGAAGACAAAAGATTCTGAACTGCATGGTAGCAAGTAATATCCGAGTTCGCTCTTAATTTCCTAGTTAATGCAATTCTTATCCGTCACTGTCGTTCTCATACGTTGCCATATTATCTGGGATTTATATTACGTGCCCTTAAAAAGCCACCCATCAACAGTCACGTTCCTTCGGTACAAAAACAAATTATAAGCATGACCACCCCGTATAACAGAAAGAGTTCGTTGTTAATTCCTGTCAGATGTGACTAAACTTCCAAAACTGAAAAATATATTCAGTTCAATTCTAAAGGGTTTTAACGACGGTAGTTTACACTTAAAATTATTCATTGTCAGGACTTTTTCCATCGTCTGTTCTTCAAAACCACGATGTTTCGGAGGCTGGTTCTGTCTCCTATTCTGTTCGGTCTCTTAGATAGAGCTAGTCTCTGCCACTGTCACCTGAAGACAAAGACAGGACCAGCCTCCGAAACGTCGTGGTTTTAAAGAACAAACGATGGAAAAAGTCCTGACAATGAATAACTTTAAATATATTCAGCATTAGGAAAGCAGCCTCAATACGGATCCTTTACAAAGTGCAATTAAAGTGTCGAAGAAAACTGATTAATGCCTAGAGACTGCTTAGAGAATAAACTTGTAGCATTGTTTTAGGTAAGTCCTTAAACACAGTCTGTGTATAATTGTGTTACTCGGTAATGTCTTGTCTGGATACATATTATTAAATTATTAACGAAAATCAGCAAATGATTTTTGATGCGAAGTAATATTCAAATATTCGAGAAGTGAGTGCAGAATTCTATTTCCATTGTTTAGTAACCTTATCGGCCTTCAGATTGGCCTCCTTGGCCTGTCCCTCGCAGGTGTCGGCCTTGTCCATGGCACTGTCCTTCTCCATCTTCATCGCCTGCATCTTCTTCTTGATGGCGTCCATGATGGCGGCTTCTTTGTTCTCCCCCTCTGCTCAAGAAATTTACAACTGCAACAAGAAAGTGACAAAACTCATAAATACCTCGTATGATATAGGATTTGAGACTTTCGCGGCGAGTACAACCAATAAAATCTTCTCGGGCAATTACCGTAGTAAACCGACGTTTCGGGAACCAACTCTGTCCCCATCATCAGGGTTCTGATGACGCGGCTGATTGCCCGAGAAGATTTTATTGTATACCTCGTATGTTCCTCTTGTAATATTTTTAAAAGTCACAGCCAGGAGATAAGCAGGAAGCATTTAAAAGTACTGGATTTCCCTTAATTAATTTTTGTAAGCACCAAGTTTGTTTAATCACTAGAAGAAACGGGGGTCTATAAGATCTACAAGGCACATATTTCTTTATATCATTAAAACGTCTGTACATCTCTTGTAAATAGTAATGGTAATATTTCTGTTATTTTTCAAAATAATACTTTTGCATTCGTCATACGAAATAGGCCTATGATATGGGTAATTTCACCCATTCTCCGGCGGTTTTGTTAAAATTTAGATGACACAAAAAATTATTCTTTTATCTTCCTGTTTATTTGACTCGGTAACAGATTATACAACTCCCACTCAGGAATCAGCTTTCTACTGCCATGAGACAACTGCTTATCAACTCTATCAG